TATCAAAAATAGTTGCATCAGATGTAAGTTCGTGGGCAATGTGAAGGGCGACAAGCAGTAACCGATTAAATAATTCAAAGTTTTCTGTTCATATAAATTTGTCGAATGCACTTTTTCGAAAGATGCAAAAAGGGAATCCAAATTAGAGCTTTTTTGAAAAAGTAGGCATGTAAATGAGCGCTTCAGGAAACAGAGCAGTGATACGCATCAATGTTGGATGACAAAACTTTTGGCTAAATATAAGTGCTTAATTTGGTTTGCAAAAGCCATACTTCGAACAACCTGTTTCATTTATTGAAAACGGCATTTTTCCATAAAAACTTCAAAGTTGCATAGAGGTGTTTTCCGCCCAACTACCCACGTTTTATACTATAATTATAACTGTAACTTCCGTACATACCTCTTTTCAACCATGCGAGCTTTAGTGCTTTAGTTCCTTCCTTGTACCAAATGGGAACATCCCACTTGAATCTTAAATTTAATAATGTCTATTTATGAAACTGCATAAATTCAAGGTCGCTTACCCATATTTTGGATATCGGTAACTCTTTGGATCTTTCGCTTTAGGATTTTTCCTATACCGTTTTTGCGTAAGTTTTACATGTGTATTGTTGAAAGATTGCACAGTCACAAGGGGGAATCCCATCTAAAAGAAAGGGTAGCCATAGTAATGAAGCCAAGAAGTAATGGAAAATATCCAGAAAAATTGGCAAGAAAAAGATGATGGCAACGTTGTATACCTGTGAAGTCCATTGATCAGCATAATCAAGAATCTTCATGTTTCCATATGGACCCTCTATGCCATGGACTACTTCATCCATTGCCCCCCAAAGGTCTGCAGCTTCAGCGTTACTGTATGCGAACTTTGAGATATAGTGCTAGAAGAAAATTAACACTGGATAATATACTGCGAGCAAAACTCTGCTTCAGACCCACACTGCTAAAGTGATCAACAGAACAATAGATTTTGAGGAATGACTTCAATATACGAAGCATAGAATAGCTGTCACGCTGTTAGATTTTGTGGCCAGAGGCACCGTACTTTAAATGGGAATTATTGCCCACTTTTGATTAAGCTCATGTTATATATGAATAAAGCCTAGTTTGTGCTCATCGTCATCCTATTCCGCGATCAAATGTTTGACAAATGTGACAATTGGTGCATATGAAAATGAGCGACAAAACCACTGAAGTTTTATTGTCGTTTCTCTAACATTGAGACACCTCCAAGTATCCTTAAGTAAGGACTAAAAACGTCCCACTTGTAGAGATCCTTAAGTAACGACGATATATAATAGTGTCAAAACATTCCGTTCCTTATAATTATTTCGAGCTGGAAATGGCGTGAGCTATTGCCAAACATCCTACAAGTTCAACTAATTTTCCTAATGGGTTATTAGAAGGAAAGGTTGGAGAAGAAGAAAACTACTGCGATCGCGGAGTTTGTTCAACTTTCTGCTTTCTAAAATTTTCGTGTTAATGTGTATATTGAAAGTAGTACAAAGAGAAAAGTCACTTTTTAAACAAAATTTTCTAACAACTAATTGTCCCCATATTACAATATCAACTTACAGCAACTCCTTTGTTGAAG